AGAGGAGTGCAATGAGCGCACACTCGACTCCACGGGATGCACTGGCCCAGCGCTGCAAGCCAGGGAAGGCCCACCAGCGCTGGGCTCACGCTCGAGATCAATCTCTATCCACCATTTCACTCCTGTTGCTCGTATCAAACTCAATTTTTTTCGTAGAGACTCCCGGGAACATGCTTTTGAAGTTGAATCGGTGTAGTCTTGTCAACAGGTGACGTAAGCAGGGAAAATCCCGGCCGCTGACCCACGCATCGCCCTCTGAGCGCAAATTTCCCGGGACCAACATTACGAGTGCTATAACTCAAGAACCGCTTATTGTATCGCTTTGAAAATTGTTCGAGGCGACAGCTGAGAGTTTTCTCTTCGACCTACATATTTCGATTCCTCCGAAAGACCGAGATTGGACCAAGTTACGATAATTTCAAAATGCCTACCCCATCGAACATCGGTGTTCGATCAATGTATATGCCAGCCAATAAAGGGTTAACCTTGGTGATGAAAGTAAACTTTCAATGGACGTGAGAATTGAGATGTGCTATGGCAGGACAACTAGAGGGGAATGCTAGGCTGTGAGATTCCGAGTACATCTATTGCGCGTTTTTTTATGAATGCATTGCAAATCCAAGGACAATCATCCCCAAACGGATAAAATATAGGATAGCCGGGATAGGTGGAGTAAAGAAAACAGTGAGTATGGAGAGTTCTCGGGATAGGGAACATCCTAGCATTAGCCATGAAAGTAAACTTTCAATAGACGCTTGAATCGGCATGTGGTAGGGCATGACTGTGGTATGGGCAAAAACTGGTCTCTGAGATCCCGAAGTACTGCGAATGTTGGGAAGGGGCAAATTGCAGGCATCCTGACCTCTGGTGGCATGGGGCAGTGAACTGTATTCCAGGCGTGATTGAGCAGCAAACTGACATTGCCGTGAAGAACACGGTGTACGAGTAGCCGCAACTTGCAATCCGCCCGCTCGACAGGTGGACAGATGCCGAGCTGGGCATACAGCTGCATAGTGTGGGCACGTGAGGGCTAGGTTGTGATACAGCGGATGCAGCGCTTGTCCAGTCTGATGAGGATCTGTTTGAAGCTTGCTGAAAGGCTGGCGAAGTAGGCGTTCGAGGCGTAGAGTAGGTCAGGCAGGATAAGAGCTGTGTAGTAAAGGAGGGACTGCGCACGGGTAATGTCTGCTCTGATGTCGCGCAAGACTCGGAATTTGTAGGACACCTTCTTCACTACAGCAGCAACTTGACCTGACCAGCGCAAGCGCTCGTCCAGACAAATACCAAGGTATTTCGCTGTGCTGGTTTGAGCCAGAGGAGTGCAACGACATGTAACTTCAAGCTCTAGTCTGTTCCGCCTTCCGGCGGAGATGCCCAGAACCTGGGTTTTTTTGCGCGTTCAGGATTAACCCCTTGTCTGCCAGAAATTGTGCAACTCCGGGCACTGCAATGGAGAGTACACGGTTGATGGTAGCTACATCAGAACTGCTGGTGTAGATCATGATATCGTCAGCAAACATCAGAACCAGCGCTGGTGACGCATACTGCACTGCGCTCCTTGTGTAAAGGGAGAAGAGTACAGGCCCCAAGACACTGCCCTGTGGAACACGGCACGTGCAGCTAGTCGTATCAGAGACTTCCCCGTCGGCTAAGGCTACTCTCTGGTGTCTGCCACTGAGGTAGTCCACGAACCAATCGAGGGCAACTGAGACTATACCAATATCATGGAGCTCCTTCACCATCGCTTGGTGGTTAACGTAACGGTTTCAAAGGTCTTGCACATGTCGACTTAGACAAGGCCACAATGCTGGTTGTGGTTTGTGGTAGTGAAAAGGCTTTCGATGGCAACGGTGATGGCGTCCTCCGTCGAGTGGTGAGGACGGAAGGCGAACTGGTTGTCGGGAAGTAGATGTTCCGCGTGGACAAACTGGCAAAGCCACTTGATGACGATCTTCTCCATGACCGTTGACACTACTGGGAGCAGCGAGATCGGCCTATAGTTCTTTGGGATAGATGGGTCACCGGATTTGAAAAATGGACGTACATTTGCTAGCTTTTAAAAGAGAGCTGGGTACTCGCCCCTCAGCCACTGAGGCATTGATGCGGATGGTTAGAGAAGGAGCTAGAGCACGGGCGCAGTGATTCAGTATGCTGCACGGAACTCCATCACTGCCGGTTGCTTTCCGGTCGTCAATAGCCTGCAGAGGTTTAAACACCTCCTCACAGGTGGCGGGCTTGAATCCAGTGAGTGACATTTCCAGGTATGGATCAGCGGGAGGCACAAGGCGAGCTGGCCGAGTGGGATCTCATCATCTGTCACGACATCTCCGAATTGCTGACTCAAGCTGCCAATAGGTTGCAACAGCGGTGTGTCCTTCTTCCGACCACTAAGGTCGTTAATCCCTTGCCAAGTCTTTCGCGGATTCGACCTGCAGAAGTTCAGCAGTTGATGGCAATTGTTGACCTTCAGCTCTCTCGAGAGTTTCTTTGGGCTCGAACGGGATAGTGAAAACTCCTGATAGAGCTGTTGATCTAATGAACTGATTCGCCACCGGCGATGGGCTCGATCCCTAGAGCGGATAGCGGAGTAGTAAACGGGAGTCTTCCATGGTGTCGATATTAAATTTTGGTGACTAGTCTTGACGTGGCACCTTTGCACAGGTGCAAACCAATCAAGAGTGAGGAGGAGCCGTTCGAACCACTGCTCCCACATTCTCTCACGTGTCATTGCAAGTCCTCAATTCCGGAGGTGGCGAGGGCTTGGGAAATTTCGTGCATGCTCGACTTCCTGAAATCGCGGCCGAATCGTATAGTGGAACGGTCTGCCGCTGCCATTGCCGCGAGAGGAACAGTCGTTAGAACCGGGAAGTGATCACTGATACCCATTGCAATAACAGTGCATGACGTAATGATGCCATCTTCTGCCAGAACCAGATCAAGAGATGTGTGTGATCCGTTTGTTCCTATACGAGTAACGTCGTGAGCCATGTTTCTAAGACAGTGACTGTGGCAGAAGTGCTCGAGGTGCGGGACCTGTGCGGAGTCGCGCGACAAGATATTAACACTGAAGTCACCCACAACCTTTGAATTTGAAGTTCTCCCAATCCTTTCAAACATATTAAATTTTAAATACTTAATTAATAGCGAAAATAGCATATAATGTTGCCGTCATCACCACACGTCAAAGAAGCCATCAAGAACAGCGTCCTATTGATAGCTATGTTGAAATTATTGTCTCCTCCTCGTGTATTAAAAATACACATGTAATATACACAGTAAGACTATGCCTGCAGCTGCAGAAAACGTGCTCAACATCCAATTTCTTGGGGGGAGCAATCACATAATTATTGTTTGCCTGACGATTGCACGCGGTGCATGAAACTCAGAGTAGCAAAACATTACGAGTGATCCATTGTTTGTTCACATGTACTTCAAGTAATAGACATCTACTACGTCTGCTATATCGGCATATTTTTTTCTTCTCCAATATCCGCATATCTCCAGACACTGGGGTGAATGATGGAGTGTGGTGGTGGGTATGCCTGGCATTCTATTATTAAGAACTCAGATGAGCCAAGGAAAAAATTGGAACATGGAAATTTTGGGCACAAGTTATGCGATCGAGCCCACCAACTAAACCAGATTTTGAACAGTCAGACGTGCACAATCCAGCACAAACCTGACAAGGAGTACTGAGACATTTCACGGCATGAAAATCAGCTGGAGCACTGCTCAATAGCGCTAACCAACGGCCTTCAAACTTGGAAGGTTCATGGATGCTAGTGCTAATTCCAAAGAGGGAAAGGCGAGCGCCATCGGGCCGAGCGCAAGCTACAATCCAAGGCTTCATGGAACGCTAGCCTGGTATGATGAGGGGACGGCAAGACCCGACAGAACGGTCAAACCACAATTCGACAACGCAAAGCAACAACCACCCAACTTGGGAGGCTCAATATTATCAGAGATGAAAATCTGACGGAGAAGCTTCGCGAGGACGAATAGTAGCAAACCGAACGCCAGTATCGTACAGTACTATACTTAGTTGATGACAATGATGGACTAACGAATTGCAATAACGTGACTGTTTAGTATCACAGGATCGCATAACTTGTGCCCACATTTTCCATGTTACATACTATTATTCCATTTCCTTTTCGAGTCACACTTGTACATGAACATTACCTTAATTGTGCATAAAAGCTTTTCCCCTACTCTTTCCAGGCCCCATTGAACCCGCCCAAGGGCGTTCTGCGGGAAGCATTGATAGAATCTCTGCTACGGTTGAAAACCAAGGTGCACGTGCATACACATCAATTTCCTTGAACGCATTGCAGTTAGACAGGCTTACAGGCATCTACAAGGATATGCGTGGAGATCGAGAACCCTTGAATCACTTGGAAGAAATCGATTTTCGTGCCGGTGGTGTCGTCAGTGACACCAATCTGCTTGCTTACTTGCTCATTAGCCTCAATAGCCTGTTGGCCGAGCGACAGAGCTGAAAGAGTCTAGCTAGTGGGCTCTTCGAACACTTGCAAACCCATCTTCGGCCAATGTAAACCCTCAAGTAGGCTTGAGGACGTAACATTCAGTTTGCTCAGAATAGGGTGAGGACAGTCAGTAATCAACAATGGTACTTATGTTGAGCATATAGCAGCCCGGATTTTCATCTCCTTTATCACTCAGGCCACTGTCTTGAAATGTTCCAAGTTCGAGAGGAGACTTGCTCCCCGGGTATGCCTCCACATAGCCAGGAAGAAGGAAGCAGAACATGATCTGGTTAGCCTAGGCCAACGGTGTTGGAAACGTACAGTTGATGGCCAGCGCAGCGCCTCTTGAGAAGTCGCCATGGTGCCAAAATGTGCAAGTACATGCTTGTATACAAGTAGGAAGACACAGTGCACTAATATAAGTGATCCATACTTCTTATCTCGTGATCAGAGAATGTACCCGTGATAGACCTACCAGGCGAGTCCGGGAGCATTATAATAAGCACATGCGGGCGTACTAAATCTTTCTTTCCCAAACTTGTCACAGAAAGCAAGAGCAAGAGCGTTGTACCAGTTTGTGCAGTGTCGACCACACCTAGACTGCCTTTGTCCAGGGAGACGATTACATCGCGTTAGACACCCTCACCATAGCATAGGCATCAACGCCTGCTGAACGTTGAAGATGGCAAGCAATGTAGTTACCTTCGTCTTGCTTCTCGCGTCAATTGCTACAGCCTTTGCTATGGTGGTGGCATTGAATGGTAAGCAGAATCAGCTTGTCTATATTCCTGAGTATGGACAAGAAATAGGTGTTGTAACAGTTGCAAAGTGGACATTGAAGCAGTGTTTCCATTTTGACATACATGTAGTTTACATCTATTATGCTGTTGTGAAAAAGTAAGGTTCGGACATCCTCGTTAACACCGACGTACAACTGCGTTGAGACACCCAACCAGCCTAGAGAAGTTTCGCTCCTGCCAGGCCACCACCGTATCTGATCATACCAGTGTGGCAGTGGCAGCGCTTACCAACGAGGGTGAGGTGGTACGTCTCACGACCAACTAACTCCCAAGAAGGGGCGAACCTCGTTAGCTGAATCCATTGTACCCATGGCATGACCATGGGTGTCACGCATTATCAAGCCTTATTCCAACCAAAAGGTTTTGGAACTTTGTATGGAATGACCTCGCGCGTTGCTCATTCTTTCTTCCATTTAGCCTAAGTGAAGACTGGCCAAGCTTGCTTGGTGATGTCAGCGCGAAAAGCTACTGATGATAAGAATAGAATGACAATGAAACACCCTCCTATCTTCGATAATTACAATCATAATGAAGCTGTGCAGATCAATGTGTGAGCGTGGACTGCTATGCACAACGAAGTCGTCGACATTGACGTCAAGCGCGCGCATGATGGTTCATTTGTATCCAGTTAGTGTAAAAGTGAGTGTTTGAGGGGTGTTAGGACCAATACCTGTACATGAACATGCAACGGCGTGAGTAAGAGAGAACCGGAAATCTATAGAGAGAAAAAGAGGCAGATTTGACGTGGATCAAACGCAACATTCTGCACATAATGAAAGCTGATCTTGTTTGTGTGCCGTGTTCATGCTACAGCTGTCCCCACGTGGTATGTAGAGTCTTCAAGATACCGATCTGTTAGTCTCGGACTTTGGCAGTTTTGCACATACGCATCCCGTGGAGGACTTGGCCCTGTGAAGCACTGTGTGTCGTTCAACCTTGTTAAAATCAACGCGGAACGAGAAAGCAATATTTTTGGTAAGTTCTGTTGTGATTTGGCGCAGAAGAGTAGTTACCCTGTAAGCTAGATGTACTTCACCCTAACTTATGATAATCGCCCTGTCCTCGCCTGCAGCCGCACAAAACCCTAGCCTTGGCTTGGCCGCGGCCACTAATATCTGAGCTGCAGATTTGACTGCTAACGGAGATAGGCGGCACGACGATGGGCGCTTGAACTGTATTGTATCACATCTGTCAAACCCATGTACCGATGCAATGTATTACAATGTCATAATAATTGTAAGGTTGGGTCATGTTCCAAATTGCTAGTTGGAAGCATCATCTAGGATAAATGCCCGTCCATTTTCCACCAATAATCACACCCAGTGAGTAGGCTTTCTGTTTTTAAAGAGTTGCGGCAGCTCCAAAGATTTATTGGTGCACACAGATGTGTCGTAACGGTGCAAGTTCTCATACACTTTAAGTCAGAGGTAACAACAAAATTGTATTACTGTGGCTCACAATTTTCCGAAAAGGCTAGTACTAGACAAGGGTCACTACTTTGGTTGTGTTAGAGGTGGGCTGCTGACCCATAGATTTTCTTATTCCTGGCAATGTGCCACATTATGGTCACTTCGCCTGGCATGCCACCTATCGCATAAACTAGACATGGCAGAAAAATGTTGTGATAGGCCCTGCCGTGTGAGACGTTATCACCCGTCGTTACATTCCACCTCCCACAACTCGAGGACATGTACATGTATGTTTAAACAATATGCCATTATGGTCACCTGATGATATCGTTAGTATCCACTTGCGCCAAGTACTCCACACTTACAGCAACCAAAAACCAAATCCATCAATTCAACCCTGCAGTATTATGATAATCGCTTCTGGCCATAAATCTGAGTCGCAGTGATTGACTTCTGTTTACTTTCTCGGATTCCTGTTGAGGTTGTTACTAGGCATATGCGGATAATGCCGGCAGAAAAATTGGCAGAATTCGGTACTTATTCTGGTAAGTTTCGTGCATTTTTCGTGCATATTTGGTATGTGGATAAAGAAATGGAGCAGAATTCGAGGAATTGCCTGCCATAAAGTTTGTATGGTTCTGCCAATTTCACTGCTTTTCGAGAAAAATCTGCCACCTTTTCGAGCATTATCCGCCGATGCCTAGTTGTTACACCTTAACACAACACCACTCTAGTCGTGTATAGTTTGCCGGAATGGACTAGCATCACTTAATTATTAATTTTAAGTTAAAAAGTCACTAGGAC